CTTTAAACTGAGTTTTTCTGTGAGTTTGGGGCCATTTTTCTAAAAAATAAACATAAGCTACGGCTAAACCGCATGCTAACATACACAGATTGCAGTAAAAAACAAAACAAATATAATAAAAAAATAACTTTAAATTAGCCTACACAGGTAGAAGCTCATCTTTACCAATAAAAACTTGACTTGGAATCAGAAAAATGTGTTATTCTAACTTTAGCTCATCGAATAAAACAGGCAAATTTTTAGCTAAACCGAAGCTAGCTAATTATGCTAAGTAGTGATAGCTTGAGTTGATTTCAAACCTTTAAAAAACTAAACTAGGGCTTTATTTCTACCATTTTATTTGCAGCTCATCCAAACCTGCTTTCTTTCTTTCTTTTGTTTCTATTAGCCTCCACTTTCCCTTTCACGGTTCTGACCTCTGACCTCTGAGCCAAAACGAGGCCGATTTACGGCTTTAAACCGAGTTTTTCTGTGAATTTGAGGCCCTTTTTATAATTGTGCTTTTTTTTTGTGTGTTTCTGAAGTCTTTAGATGTTCAGATGAAGTTTCTCTGTGTTTTTGGTCAGTTTTTCTGCTTTAAACTGAGTTTAAAGGCCGATTTACGGCTTTAAAACGAGTTTTTCTGTGAATATGAGGCAGTTTTTATGCTTTAAACTGAGTTTTTCTGTGAATTTGAGTTAGTTTTTATGCTTTAAACTGAGTTTTTCTGTGAATATGAGGCCGTTTTTATGCTTTAAACTGAGTTTTTCTGTGAATTTGAGTTAGTTTTTATGCTTTAAACTGAGTTTTTCTGTGAATTTGAGGCCGTTTTTATAATTGTGCTTTTTTTGGTGTGTTTCTGTCTTTAGATGTTCAGATGAAGTTTCTCTGTGTTTTGGGTCAGTTTTTCTGCTTTAAACTGAGTTCAAAGGCCGATTTACGGCTTTAAACTGAGTTTTTCTGTGAATATGAGGCAGTTTTTATGCTTTAAACTGAGTTTTTCTGTGAATTCGAGGCCGTTTTTATGCTTTAAACTGAGTTTTTCTGTAAGTTTGAGGCCAATTTTATGCTTTAAACTGAGTTTTTCTGTGAATTTGAGGCCGATTTTATGCTTTAAACTGAGTTTTTCTGTGAATTTGAGGCAGTTTTTCTGCTTTAAACCGAGTTTTTCTGTGGCTCTGAGGCCGATTTAATGCTTTAAACTGAGTTTCTTTGTGAGTTTGAGCCAAAACTAGGCCGTTTTTCTAAAAAAAACAAACTATAAAACAAGCTACGGCTAAACAGCATGCTAACGTACACAGATCACAGTAAAAATATGAATAAAATAAGAGATTTAAATGAGCCTACACAGGTAGAAGCTCATCTCTACTAATAAAAACTTCGACTTGGAATCAGAGTTAATCTACGTTTAGCTGTTTACTTTTATCAGATAAAAGAGAATAGTTTTTAGCTAAACCGACGCTAACTAATTATGCTAGGTAGCACGAACCTGAGTTTTACATTTTAAACCTTTAAACCTAAACCAGGGGTTTATTTCTACCACGTTATTTGCAGCTTATCCAAACTTGCTTTATTTCTTTCTTTTCCATTAAAAGAAAAACATTGATCAACTTTATGAAGAAAGAAAAATGTGTTTAGTTTGTTGGAAAATTTGTTTAAGATCAGAATTTAGATAAAAATCTGTTTCTTATCTGTTGTTATGGAAACTGGTGTCAGCCTTCAGGAGCGTTTTGGGGATTTCCAGCCAGAAACAAAAGCTTTTATCTCCTGAGAACCTCAGTCAGATTTCAGATTCTTTCCTTTTTTTGCGTTTCTGGAGTCTTTGGATGTTCAGATGAAGTTAGAGGCCGTTTTCCTGCTTTAAACCGAGTTTAAAGGCTGTTTTTCAGCTTTAAACTGAGTTTTTGCTGCCGTTTTCCTGCTTTAAACCGAGTTTAAAGGCTGTTTTTCTGCTTTAAATTTAGTTTTTGAGTTAGTTTTCCTGCTTTAAACTGAGTTTAAAGGCTGTTTTTCTGCTTTAAATTTAGTTTCTGAGTTAGTTTTCCTGCTTTAAACTGAGTTTCTGAGTCCATTTTCCTGCTTTAAACTGAGTTTTTGCTGCCGTTTTCCTTCTTTAAACTGACTTTTTGAGTCAGTTTTTCTGCTTTAAACCGAGTTTTTTAGGCTGTTTTTCTGCTTTAAACTGAGTTTGAGTCCATTTTCCTGCTTTAAACTGAGTTTTTGAGGCAGTTTTCCTGCTTTAAACAGTTTTTGCTGCCGTTTTCCTGCTTTAAACTGAGTTTTTGCTGCCGTTTTCCTGCTTTAAACAGTTTTTGTTGCCGTTTTCCTGCTTTAAACTGACTTTTTTTAGTCCGTTTTCCTTCTTTAAACTGAGTGTCTTTCCTTCTTCACACACCTGAGATCTGCACGGAGTCCGTGTTTGCTGACAGAAGACAAAAACAAAGAGAACAGAGGAGGCGTTTAACTGTTAATGTGCATAAAAATAGCTTTATTTCCAATAATGATCAGAACCCTGAGCCCCCCCTTTGGGGCCCTTAGCCCCCCC